TAATTTTTTGTTTAGGCGATAATGAATTTAAGCAGGAATGGAATTTTATCGTTTGAAAGACGCACATTTGAGATATATAAGCGACAAAGTTTATCTCGCTGTCGACGACGCTTCCGCACAAAAGCTATTCTCCAATGTGTTTTCAAAGTTCAGGGACTGTCTTCTGACAATCAGAATAAACGGAAGAGGAAGTTAGTGCGACTGGCAAGGACCCTGGCAGTTCGAGAACAACTAGTTACAAATGATAAAATAACAGAGCTCATTTAATCTCTCACTCGCGCGTTCCGTTAATTGACGAGAGCCAGCATTGTTTCTTGGTAGGCAAACTTTGGCTATTTTCCTTTCTCCTTTCGCGTTTGTCAGGGAAAACAAATCGTGTATTTCTGTAAATCGTTTTACAAAATCGTCGATTTTGCACCTTTATTTCTATTTAACTTGCATTTGAATTGCAATGGATTTCTCGGAAATCTTTAAGTTTTTCCATGTTTTCATGATTTAAAAGCAACTTGTTTTTTTTTCTTTGAAGTTTTGGATAATCTTAAAAGTCAAAAGATCTCTCAAAAGTTTCTATCAAAAGATTTCATAATTTATTAATTTTGCAAATTTATTGAAATTTTGATCTAACTGGCCAGTACAATTTAATTAAAAACACTACGTTTCGACCCTTAGGTACGAGTCCTTTTCAAGTGTAACTTTTAAGATGTTGATTCGACAGCAGTAAAATTACTAATGAGTTACTAATAAATGAGGTTAGTAATTTTACTGCTGTCGAATCAACATCTTGAAAGTTACACTTGAAAAGGACCCGTACCTAAGGGTCGAAACGTAGTGTTTCTAATTAAATTGTACTGGCCAGTTAGGTCGAAATTTCAATAAATTTGTATGGTTTTACTCATCACTGGCGACTTCATTTTATCGTTATTTATTAATTTTTTTCATTTTATCGTTATTTATTAATTTTTTCATTTTATCGTTATTTATTAATTTTGATTAAAATAAAAATTTTTTTTGTATAACAAAAACATGGAACTTTTTATATTTTTAGATGCTTATTTTTTATACTAGAACTTTTTTTTTAAACATTAACAAAGAGATTTATAGATTTTGTTATTCTGTAATTGTCTGTTCAACTATATTGCTGAAATTGCAAAGAATTTAATTAAGCATGAGCCATTTATAGAAACAATGCAATCAATCACCAATGCTTGAAGATTACATTCAGTTAATTAAAGCTATTCGAACTTAAGAATAAAGGATCCCCGAAATCTCGAAAATTTGCTCGCGTTCTTCGGTTCATTCTTCCACGAGGAATTTGTTTTATCGCAAGCGGCTAAACTACTCCCATAAATTACTTTCTCCATGCGATCAGATAATGTCCTCAAATTCACGCGCACAACTTCCGCCGTAGATCAATCTCCTTGATTCTCCAACTCCCCCTGGTCGGATAGGCGACCGAACGACTCGCACTACTTCGAGAAACTGCATTACATTGCGCCAGTTTTCGGGAACAGATTGTTTCGAAAATTCGTCGAATAGATTTGCAGCCCATAATTGACAATCTAAATTCACGATCGAGACTTTTTTTAAACAGCTGTGTTTAAACTTATTAAAAATATTGGATATTAAAGATATTATATCATTAATAAAAGCATGGATTGCGTTTTTCTATCAATATAATGTAAATGTAAGACATACGAATACGAATTAATAGTTTGCAATTGATATTTTAAATTTTCTTGTGTTTTTTACGTATTTTGTTATTGCAGCGTGATATCTCTACATATGTATGTCACTATACGCTGAAAAATTAAATTTTATAACAATTAAAGCATTAAATAAAAATTAGACGAGAATGGACGTAGCTAAATTATTCATCATGTAAATGGAACAGCGTTGCAAAATAGATGATGCGGATTTGAATTGGTATATTCAACGAATGGTAATAATCAACGATTTATTCCACGCCATTTGATGTTACATGTCAGAATTTTAAGCCTCGAGGCAGAGTACGAGGAATCGATTTTTAGGTTATTTACATTTCTATCTCCACGCGTGAAGAAGGACGAGCATAAAAATGCTACAAAAGTGCAGGGATATGTAGGAAACACAAAATTTCCATCGTGCCGCGTGTAAATGCGGTACGACCGGAAAGAGACGGGTATATCACGGTAGACGGCTACCACGGAAATTGCCCACCTGCCCAGTTTACACGATCTTTTCATCCCCCTTTTCGGTCCCTATTTCGATGCGATAGATATATGATAAATCGAAGTGCATCGAGGCACATTTTCATCGAGAAAAGCAGATACCGCCACGCATACGTATATTGGAAATTTTATCCTCAAGCTGTTCTTGCGCAAAATATAAACATTTACAATCAGCTATTACTGTTAAAATAATGTATTAAAATAAAATTATATTTACACATACGCATATATGCATTGTTTACGCAGTGAAAATAATGAAAAGTACATATTTCCATTATATACATTTTCAGTTACATATATAACATTGATAATTTAATTCTCGAAATATAAATATGTATAATGAAATATGACTTCTCAAATAAATTGTAGACAATATGAATGAATAAACGGAATGGATACTCTCTTATCCTCTTAAATGCGAACATTTTAGGAATGATATCTCAGACTGTGTTGTACAGCTGTAGCCACACACTTTAATAATATTGCTTCGTACAGTTTGCCAGTACCGCTTCTATCATTACTATCCCTTGCGACCAGTAGACATGACAATGGAAGAGATATCGATTCTCTGTGGAAATCATCTTAATGTCGACTATTCCGGCTACTGTTGAATTAAGGTCAATAACACAGATGGATGTGAAATTTATATATAGAATTTTTCTGCAGTATATACATGTATATTCATGGAGTTCCATTTTCTTGCTTTCCGCACTGTTATATTTTTAATCTTTCTATTTTCTTACCATTAATCGCCAGGAAATTAAATTAAGTAATATCATTATGCTAAATGAATCTGTAAAATGTTTCTTTATGTATACTTGTATATTACCTGGATCAGTTACAGCACTACATGTATATACATATTAAAATCGCTTGAATTGTTTCGTTAATTTCCATTATTAATAATTATTTATACAATTCTATTTTACGTTATCATATATTATATTTATTCCACGGAATAAAATAAGAGGGAGTAAACAAATTATGCAAATAAACGTTTTCAGCGTAGAATTTTATAAAATCTAAGCTAAAGATACTTTGGTCGGATTTAGAAGTATACGTTGGCACGCGCGCGTCCTTTCGCGCATTATAGCGGATAGACCGTGGAGGTATAAGGATGGAAATTAGGAACGATCTAAAGTTTGATAATTAAGAGAGCACTATTTGCTAGAGTGGTTTGTAAGTTACGACGGAGTGTGCGCGTGGTTTACCTACCGTTATCTTCTCTATACGTGATATCCTAACGTTGCTGCACGTTAACTTCGACCTTCGATCCGGTCTTGGTGGTCCTCTCCGTGCTCCTTGGCTAGTGCAGTTAATGCCACTCCTATCCTCTTAAGATATCGCATTATCACTAAGGAGCTTTCCGCGCAGGACGAGGAACTCTCCACAAGTATAAAAGTGGATCGGATTAAAACTTAACGTGGATCTTCGCATAATTGCATTTCTAACAAGCACGCCGCCCATTGCGAGGCGGCGAGCAGTGACCTTCCTCGATTACACGAAGCTCTATTAAACGAAGTGTCGGGCCTGTCCGCAAGCCAAATCCTTCTTGCGGCAAAAGCTTATTACAGAGCGGCGAATCCGCTGTACGAACTAATGATACTTAAATTAAATCGATATATTTAATACGTTTTGCTAATCTTCTTATCACAGCTAATAATATATTAGTAAACTTGTGAGCTTTATTAGCTTTGTATTGTTTATATTTATTTATATTTATTTTTGTATATATGTACAATGAAGATGTTGATTTATTTATGAATTTGTATCTCTTGTTGCGCACACAATGCAGCTTGCCGCGCTATCTGCCATTGTGTTAAAATTCCCTTAACCTCCTTCTATTCATTATCTCCGTTCGGTTCCGCGAATCTATCGCTCACAACTTCTGACTGACGGCACACGACGGTGTTGAAGTTAACCAAAACTTATATCTAGTTTATGCACCTGTCTCTTCCCTCTTATAATCTCTGTAAACGCGGCTGCGGCTTTTGCCGCAAACTGCTATTCCTGCAAACGCGAGATTGCAGCCGCTGCGCTGTAGGATTCGTAACGTGGAGTACCGAGGAGGTGCATATCGGGTTCACGCACTGCTGGCATCATAATACCAGCGCGCGATTCAACATAGTTAGCGCATCTTCTACTAAGATCTGTCGGTAACGAGCTCAACTTTCGACGACCAATTATCGCGAATAGACTTTAGCGTGAGCATTCATGACCATTCTACCTATACCGAATCTCAAGTTTCTTAAGTGCAAGATACTGTGTCTTTATACGATTTTACAGAAACATAACTGGCTTTACTTGCACAGTCCGCAAACAGTTAAAAAAAAGAACTACTTACACCTTTTAGTGGAAATGGCTAATGGAAGAACGTTGCATAAACTGAAATATATCGGTGATGTCTGGATATAAAATATTATGTATATGTTAGTATATTTTTAATATGGACAAAACTTTTTAAAGTAATATGGATTTGTTGGAAAATGAGTCAACGATGTAGAAAAACAGTTTTAAAAATCATTTTCCGATCTCGAATGAAAATCATCCTACAAGTACATATGCTTATCAAGATAATTCTGTCTGTATCTAATTACAGATATAATGACATATTCAACAGTATTTAAAAGTAATCTTGCTGCTTTTGCAAAGGGCAGAGACATATTTATGAGCCAGATACTCTATTTTAACTGTAGTGTGTAGCAACTTGAGTTGTGTAGCACGTCTAATTGTAGTATTTCCTAATATATTCTACGTAAATTCTAATCAAATTTCGTCTTTGTTTCGCAGATAATTCACGGCGTGCATATCGAGCCGGCGCACGAAGTAAAGAAGCGTAGCATTAGTCAGCCAGTTCGCATCCTGCTATCTTACGACGAGAGCGTCTTTAGGTAAGTCGATACATATTTGTGTCTACAAGATTCAACGAGATTTGTCGGCGTGAAATTACGAAAAGTTACGATTGACTATACATCAAGGCGCAAATCGAGTTTATCTCGCAAGCATGATGAATTGCGTTAATTATCTTAAGTGACATTCTCCTGCAAGTTAGTCGAAAATGAAGGAATGTTTAGTTCTAATTTGATTTATACAAATCTACATGTTTCTATTCTGCATGATGTAAAATATGGGACATATTAACGTAAGAGAAAACTTTCACAATTATTTTTTTTTTATTTTAAAATTAATTTTTAAAAATTACATTTTTGCTACAAACGTCAAAAGATTAATATCTGCAAATATAATATGAACTTTTTAATACGTTTTAACTTTAAAATAATTTTTTAGTTTGTTGGGTTGTAACGTATTGCAGGACGATTAAGAACTCGGAGGAATAATTTTTCCGCTTTAAAAAGTAATATTTTCGCGGCATACAATGAGTTTATATGCTTCGTAATTTCTTTATCTCGTGATAATTAATTTTCTACATCCGCTTACAACTCGTAGCTCATTCACGAACAACAAAATTTTTCATCGTTGTCATCTTGTCATCACGTCTCCAGCGAGTGCGTCTAATTCCCCCGTGACGCATTTTATATAACATACGGTGGAATCTTTTTGCGCGAGGTTAATTTACTAAAGTGCCCATAAATATTTTTCCTCGTAGCTTAATTTTAAAATGGTGGCAGAAATTAGCTCGACTATATCGCGTAATACTTTCATTATCGTACGACGTTCTCGAGTTACCTGTCGCTTACTCGCGTCGTGAAAAGAACAATACGAATTCACCGCGTCTTTTTCTATCTTACGAAGATAATTTCTATCCTTAATTGCTACCACGACGACGTTATTTCTAATGCGCCTGAAAAAAAGCATTACCGTAATGTTGCAGGATGCTTCTTAAACGTTTATATATCGCGAATATTTATTTTATCGCGTTTGCCGTTTCTCTGAGGAATCTACTCGAATCAAGAGGGATATTGTCTACCGTAAAATTTCATCGTGAGTTTCAATTTTGCCAAGTAACGTCTTGAAGGAGCTACGATAATGGAACGAACACGCCGTTTCGGCGTGTATATTATTATTATTATTATTTGTATTATTTTCTGTAAAGTTTTGATATTTTCGCTTCGGTTATTCCTCTCAGGTAGCTTTCCAGAAATTTAGGTACATTGAGGATAATCTCCACCGCATCTCTTAGCGTCTTCTCCCACAGTTCCTGTGGAAGGTAATGCGTTAAGGCTATAATAGCTGGAAACATGATAAGCAAAGATACGGTTACTGCGCTAAACGACGATTCCGTAGTAGTTGGTGTGAGATAATATCGGGATAGTATATGATATTACCATTAGCACTCCATAACGATGCTTATGCATTAATAAACGACTACTTTACTTGGATTGCAATTTAATATAATGTCACGTATTCCTTGAAGGTAAACAATTGAGATTTTATCCATAAAAATAATATAAATAAAAAATGTGTACTAGTATTTTTTTCGTCTAAAATTATAACGAAATTTATCATTAGGGAATAAAAATTGATTCTGTTTTTTATCATGAGTCATCTCCTTCGATTCAGAATTGTCACATTGACAGCGAACCTCGTTCTCGGGAAGACTCGTAAAACAATTATTTTTATTGTCGCGCTCGTTTACTGTTGCGAAGAGATAATCCTGCGTTATTGTCACGTAGTTGTAGCCAGCCATCTCGATCCTATTAGTTTCTGAAATAATCCCTCTGGCGTATAACGCGAGTTCGAGTTAGCATCTCGCGGCTTCGATCTTGGAACCATCTCACAGAAACGTTTCCGTTCTCGCGATTGTCATAAGATAAGTCGATGTACCAGCGCGTCATGAAGAGCAACGCGGCGACGTAAACCGTTACGAAACGACTATTGCGAATCTTGCTATCTTGGTTGGTGATTCACAGACCATTGACCCTGTTCCCTCAAGTTTGATGCGACATGTATATAAGCGGTGTTCTTTCTCCCTGTTTTGTCGTCGGAAACGTATAATTATGTCTTCAGGCTGACTCGTATATTAACGATTCGCGATATTCCGTGATAGCCCGGTTGGAAACAACGTCACATTATGCTGCTAAGGCAAATCCTCCATTCGCTTCTCTGAGTTTGCCAAGACTTCTTAGCGCAGTTTTTACACTTTGTATGTGCATTGTGTGCGTTCTATACTTGCATTATATTGGATTGGAAACGCAATCCGAATAAATATATCCACGCTAGAGTTCGTGAATTTCGTTATCCCGAATGCGGGAGAATAAATTTTCATTATTGCCCAGAAGGATTATACTATATGAAACGTTTTGCAGGAATAAAATAAAATACGATAAATTAAAATGCGATAAATTTTTAATCGCAATAATCGAATAACGGGATTGCGGAGATAAATGTAATCATCGAAAGAATAAAACAATTCGAACACTCAGATAAAAAACTAACTAAGATGTTACCGTCGAAAACGGAGAGCAACACTCGAAATATGTCATTTCACATGGCGATGACGCGGTTCGCATAAGACTTAGTTTAAAGTGCCGACCGGGGCGACGAAGCAACTTTTAACTTCTGAGAGAGCAAAAGTTCTCAGCAGTTGTTAAATGCCTCCGTGGCACTCGGCGAAACTTTTGGAGTGTCGGCCCCCCGTAAGTTTCTACGTTGCATTAACCGCGCATCTTGTTCTTTGGACGTGTATTCATCTGTAAACAAGATTTTTGCTATGCACAAAGGACTTTTCAACGTAGTCAGTTTCCATGTAAATATTATAATACGGTTTCAGCGCGACGTCGCTGAATGTGACGGTTATACAACAGATACTTCACGAACGCCTTCGGATTAGCTGCAGCTAAACTGCATTATGTCATTTATTAATTATTTTGATAATAACCTACTTAATGCAATTAAGTTTACTTTTCATCATTTATTCAGTTTGATTTTTTGATTTGCATCTCATAGATGTGTATATTTTTTTCTATTTGTAGAACAATGTTTAAATTTCGGGATAGCAACAAGCGTACAGAAGTCATGTAATCGCGCATGTGCATACATATGTACGTGAACAGCTTTAAAAGTCGGACTGACACAATCGCGTCGCGACGCACAACGACGCGTACCTACGGTATAAAAGTCGTGGACCTCTAGTTTTCGTGAAATAAGGTCACGTTGCGTTGTGCAGGTGCGCGACAGCATGTCATTATGCACCGTTTCCTGTGCACCATTATTATACCTATGTCGCGTCGGAATCGTCCTATCCTTTGCACGCGCAAAGGAGCGTTGACCCGTAATAGAACATCTCGTCGATTTCACTTTCTTAGTATCGTCGAATATTCACGACAAATTGCGCATTTGATTTGCATCATTATTACTGTGATATCCATATCGTAAAATCTGCAATTTTCAAAGACATTTGTTATACTGAAAATATGCAATTTTTTACAAAACTCGTATTGTTCGTTTAACTATAACGAACAGTTGCTTTAAATATATAATTAAAAATATTGCAATTAATCTATACGAATAATTTTAATTTTAATTATAAAATGCATAAATCATAAAATTATATTGAAAAATACGAAATATATGTTAAAATTATCGAACGATAAAATATGTGCATTGAATGTTAGCAAATTAAAAAAATTTTTCGTATTTTATAAATTGTTGAGCAGTTTTCTGGAACTTCCTCTATTTTTTTTCAAAAAACTCAATGCTATACGACCACATTCATGTATTATTGACAATATCATAGTAGCGGTTTATCGAAAAAAGTCAAGCGAACAGTAGTATTTCAGTTGTCTCATTTTCATTCCTCTATTTTGAATTAAGGTGACATTATTTTCACACAGCATCGTACATCATAATTATACAACAAAGTATATATGATATAAAACTGCTGGACATGTTGCCGAAGTAAAGTTAGTTTTAAAAACTGTTTACATATTTATACATATTTATATATACAACGGGAACAATTCTCTATCGTTTGGAATTATCGTACAGATTGAAAACTCTCATTTGCTGCCGTGACATTTCTGTTATCCCGCGTTGCTCGATGTTGTACTATTAGCGGATTCGTCCGCGGACGAATACAAATTATACGAGCAGCATGGAATAATAACGCGCAACGCAAACAGCAAATTAATTAACGAGTGAGTCAAAAGTTAAAATATAGCGAGATGGATGGATATATAAAAAAAAGAAAATGTGACTGTACTTTCACGCAAACATGCAACATGGGACGAATTTAGCAAGCAATAACTACCGCATTTGGTTTGATAATAGATACATTAGCACATACATTTGTCGAAACATTTTATTCGTCGAAACGATATGCTGCGCCAACTCATATATTTCTCTCATTTTCAGCGAATTTTATTATGTGATGACACCGATAATTCGTGTCTTTTTCTCAGCGTCGCTCGATTATTAATTCCTCGCCTGTTTTTCATATTCGATCGTGCTTGTTATTTGCGGGTCAATCCAGCGAGAGATATCTCTGCGGCGGTGATTACAATCGGCAATATTTTTTGTAGAACGATATGGTCATGCTATATTGATAAAGCACTTGTGAGTATTGCGCGTCTCTCGCTGCGGGCATAGACTATCCGCAAATAGCTGAAATTTCCGATTGTATGTATGCGCGCATGCACATTTCACGTTTCCGGACACGTTGTACCAGTCGGATGTATACGAACTGATGATCCGAATCAATTTCTGTTCATTTGATTCATATAAATAGTTTTGTGGATAAATGGAAAATGTATGCCTGAGAAATTAATTCTCTCATACATATCTATTTATTGTACAATAAATAATTATGTAAAGATATTTTGTTTAATGAATTCTTATTAGTTCTTCAGATTTTTACGGACTCTCTCTCAATATAAGTGGCGAGTTTTGCGGTTTTCCTACACTTAGCAACGTCTATACTTTGTCTTTTTAT